TTCCCTCCCTTCCATGCAGTGCCTCAGGGAGGAATACGTAAATAATAATAATAACATTAAATAATTTTTAAAAAATCTAAAACGAATTTTGAAAAAAAAAATTGCTTCGAAGTATGCATTTTTACTGTCTGGACCACATGTCCACCAAATTTCTTAGCTATATACTTTACCATTTATCTTAATGTAATGTACACATGCAAAAGACAAACTCTATTTTTATTATTTTATTGTTTTATTTTTTATTATTTTTATTTGTTTCATTATCAAGTTTTATTTTCTTTCTCAAGCTTCGAAGATTTTAAGAAACATTTTAAGTAGAAACTTGTGTAGCATATGTTAAGAAATAGGAAGCAATCAACGGATTCGAACTTACTGAATAGTTGAGATGGCGATGTATTTAAATTTTTTGGTCCAGAGTTATTTCTGCAAAACCTGTAGTCCTGTAAAAATATAGTCTGTGCCCAAAATATATCATAGCTTCTGGACACTCAGTCGAAGTCTGATTTTCTAAATACTGCTCAGATAGAACTAAATATACGTGCAGAAACCCTCCCACCTAATTTGGCGACGATTTCTATCATCAAATTAACAGTATTTGTTGATTTCCTGCCAGTTTGGTGTTATTCCGGAAGTTTCCGGAAAATACATTTTTAGAGATTTAATTGCGATTTTTCTAGATGCTTCCAGAAGTGCTTACACACCCCTTTCATCAATTGTATAATATCAGCTGTTTTGGAGCCGTTAATCAGTAATTTCTCTAGTTCAGTTCAGAATCGTTGAGTTGTATTGAATCGCTGCTCGGAGATTACTGTTTTAGTCTTTATGGCTTTATGGCGATTTTGGTGGTCTGCCATATTCCTCACGTACTAAGAAAAAATTATCTTCATTTAATTTTTCTTTCGATATGAGCTGTTATTTATTTCAATAAAGTTCCAATTTCTTCCACTGTATCCGCCGTAATTATTAAGGAAATCTCCGCGAACCCACAGCACACAGGAATTATATATAAGATAATAATTACCTTGTAAATGTTACAATGGGAAACAAAATGTGCAATTTCTTTATTTAGTGTTCGTAATATTTTACTGTGAGCTATTCATCCGTTAAACTTCTCTTACTTCTGCATATAACATAAATATCGAGTTATATATAACATGCTGTATTATCAGACATTTTGCGTAATCATGACAGCTCTTGAATTATATTACCTGAGGGTACGGGGACTGTTATTCTTAGTTAAAAATTAAAAACAATATTAATTGCACTTTAAAAACAAAATAATCCCAAGAGTTCTCAAATGTATTATTTAAAACAATAGTTCTTTTTCGTTAAAATGAGTTGCCTAAATACTGGAGATGAGAAGAGGGATGAGAGAGCTTAAGTTATATTTTTGTACTCTGGGAATTTTTAATTTTATTTTAATTCTCCTTCCTTCCTGCGTTTAATTATCCTTCCTTCCTTCCTGCGATATCTCTAGGGAAGAACAAGAACTAAAAGTTTTAAAAATAGTCAATTATGCAAGTACCTTGGTTTATAAGCCGGCAGTGGAAACCACTGTTCAAGAAGGTTAGTGTGCTAGCTTTACCAGATCCTCAACTTAATCCTTAACAGGGTTGTTTCTTAACAATTCTTGCTTTGAGTGGAGCTATTTTATGGTTAAGAGAAAGATTTTCGGAGAGTTTAATTCAAAATTTATCTAAGACTTTGGTGAGTAGTAAGAAAAATGTAGTAGCTAAGAAAGTAATGAGTAGTTTCTAACCTGTTATACGGTCCAGTTTATATTCTTTTAATGAAAAAAGAAAATCTTTAAAAACTAACATTCGTTTGTGATTTTCCTGTGATGAAATAATTTTCGTTTAATCCAGATAAAGTTTTCTTTAGTTTCCCTTTATGCTTGGGGCGAGGACTCACTCACTATACTTACTACTTACCTAATTTAATTATATTATTGCTTTAAAGTTTAAGTCTGAGTAAGTGAAACATTCCTTATTATTTTGCTTGTTGCTTAATTATGTCATCTGACGGGTGTTTGGTTTACTTTATTATAGCAAAGCACTCAAGGGTTATCTGCCTAAAAGGAGGGATGGCTTCGTGGAGGACTTTCTAAGGAAACCTGACTCGTATACACGTCACACATAACGTCCATTCAGCCAGCTAGTTCGCTAGTCCACATAAACGTCCATTCAGCCAGCTAGTTCGCAGGGATTGAAGCCCAGGACCGAACTATCAGTGTTCAGCGAATTTATACCTCGGCCGCTGGTGGCCAGCTGATGGACCGGTGTATCCGAAATTTTGTTTATAGGTCGACACTAATTTAGATTAAATCATATATCATCCAGCAACCCGAATTTTAACCGTGTTACTGATGAACTTTCACGAAGACAAAAGGACTCTCCGTTACTTAAACAGTAGAATCGCAATAATCCAGGTATTATTCTCGTGAGAAAAACCAAAACTGCCATTCAACGATATCGTATGTTGCATTTTGCAAGTATATGTCAAGTAAATTGAAAGCTGATTACATATAGCGGATATAAGATTTAGAAATTTTAGACTAATAAGTCAATCCTCAAATAATTTTAATATTTAAAATAATAATTTTCAAAATAAAAGTAAAATTTTCTTCTATAAAATATTACATAGTGATATCTCATTCTAAAATCCTTGCACATTTTTAGATCCGTTTAAGAGTTATTAAACACACTGAAATGCAAATTAAAGATAAAGAAAATCTAAAATTTAAAAACTCAATATAACGTGATCCTAAAGATATCCATATGAAACCGTAAGTAGGATACCATAAACTCTCACAATATTACTTTTGGTCAATAATGATTATTTGAGGAAGTGCTAAGAAAATCTTTGGGAGGTATAAAATAAACCTTTAAGTCTCCACAGCATCCACGTACGCCTTCACTCCATCTTTTCTTTCAATGGATTTTTTGTCCAAAAATGGACATTTCACTACTTTTTGCATTTGGTTTTCACTCCTTCAGTTTAGTATGTATTATATAAAATCTAAACTTACGTATTTTAAACTAGGATTTGTTCTTCCTGAAAGAAACTGGAAAAAAAAAGGAGTGACAGAGAAATGTTACACATTTAACTTAACTGTAAAACTTATTTTACTAACTGCAAATATTATATAGATATGACCAAATTATTGCAACAAAATTTCTTATCATTTCAATAGTAAAATATGTGTACGAAATACAAAACAAAAATTGTCAGTTTCTTTCAAATGTGCTTGAAAATCATGTCTTTTACTGGATTATTCCTTGATATTTATCTCTTGACCATTTTTCTCTTTTAAAGTTACAATTATAACTGGGATGAGCAAGGTAAAATTGTAAGGAATTTTTTCTATGCTTATTGCGTGTCATCGTGCTGTAATTGGAAGTAAGTCCGGCTGGCAGTCAGGAACGTCCTGGCGAATTCGAATCCTGACAAAGGCATATCCGTTTTCTCCTGCTTATATTCTGCTCTCCCATCCCTAATAATTCTACAAGTGGTGCCCGAACTAAAATGGGATAGATGATAACTGGACCACGATAAATCGTCACCATTTGCATTTGAGGATGGTGCCACTCCTTCTCAGCTCCTATTTGTGCATATATCTTATTGTTACATAAATCCGAATTTTATACAGAGGTTATTACACATTTTTAGAACGATTCTAAACCCGTTCAATTAATGTTTAAATTTAAAGTGTACTTTTTTAAATGTTCGATCTTGTAGCCTTTTTTCTGGACTATAAGTCTGTATCGTGATTTTCATGGCAGAAAGGCTTTTTATAAAATTTAGAGTGTTATTTATTTAAGTTTTCAGTTATACTTTCCACAGTCCATGAATCGTGTTAAATTTGTCCTTAGAAAGAGCCGTTTTCAACAGAGACAAATAAGCCATGGTTGAAACATCAGAAAACTTCGCAGGAGTAAATTGAAAAAGTATATATGTATTATCTGTGTCAGTCTTTATTTTTTCGAGGTATGTAGTGGTACTTTTCGAAGTATGACTTGTTGCTATGTCTTAAAGTTTCACTCTTTGAAAGTATGCAGAAAAATAAATTTCTTCTGCAAACGTCGGATGTAAAATTTCCTCTGAATAGCACGAGTACGTTGAGTTGACATTTTTTTTCCAATCTTCTTATTTTTAATTTCCTACTGTATGGGAATCCTGCTACAATCATATATTACTTACTGAAACTTCATTTGCAGTGACAGAACCAGGTTTGTAAATTTTCTTTTCGTTTTACACAATAAATACACTTTTTTCTATTCCAGTCGTTTAATTAAACTCATGCTTCATCAAGTGTCACAGTATTTCTATTTACCTTCAGCTAAACAGTTTTCATACAATGTTATACAAATTGTTCTGCGTTAAGTCACATGCAACTGCAAAAGCTGGTGAATATTATGTATTTTAGATTTTTAAATTGTAAATCTTGGTTTATCTTTTTATTTATCGTTGCAGCCAGATCTATTCAAAAAACTTTGCAATTGATTTCTGCGTCGGTGGATTTTCTCTTATAAAAACGGATGATTAGAAACAATAGACACAGAAAGTGTCTTTCCCAAGTATTCATTTGACATTTTCTTTTCATGTAGAAGTAATGAGGGACGATATTTCCTTTTCCGATCAATAATTTTGCTTATTTTTCACTCAGAAATTTTAATACTATGTATTTCATAATGTTTTCGAACCATGGAATAGGAATATTTCGCTTCGGAAAGCGCATAAATATATTCTTCAAACTACAGCTTGTTTACATCCGATATTTTGAAGAAGAATTATTTTAAAAGTAGCAAACGATATTTCTCATTTGGTATAATAAGCTATTCCTAAAAATTTTTATTCCAAAACATTTGCTTTTTCTAATTTTTTATCAAAATGGCTCTGAAACTGTGTAAACACCCTATTTATTTTAAACGCCAATATATGCAATTAGTTTTATCTTTTGTTTCATTTTTTTTTTTTTTTTTTTTTTTTTTTTTTTTTTCTTTTTGATAAATTGCACCGAACTATGTTCTTATACATCGAAAAACATGTGAAGACCGTCTATAAATATGTTGAAAAGACTAGGAGGGAAATATAACCTGAAACATTTTCAGATTTTTATTTAGTTTAAATTTTACATATTTATTATTTATTCAGTTCATTAATGTTTCATTCATCTTTATTGCATTTTATTTAGATTTATATGTAAACTCGGCGTCTAGGGGATTTCTACGCTGACGACACACATTTAGGTGACTAAGTATTTATTTAGTTATTGATGGAGATACAGTGATGAGTATTTACAAATGAAAAAAGAGTTATAATTGAGATGTTAACAGCTTCGCCATCTATTAATACGTCTTAGTCGAAAACATGACTGTTCTCTTTCGTTTCCCTCGTCCATCTCTCGTCTCACTGCAATGCCTTTCGTTGTGTTGAGTTGTTGCACTCCTGCTACTCACACTCAGGTATCCTGACACGATAGGGCCTCCTGGCGATGATGGAGTTACAACAAAATCTAAAAAGAGTAATTAAAAAAAAAAGAAAAAAGAAATAAAGGGGAAAAAAGTCGTTTGGATATGGAACGTTTTGAGAAAAAAAAAAAGAAGCGTCATTTGCTTGGAGTGTCAATAGATCATCCTGGAACGTCTTGATGGAAGAAGAAATGTTATTTCTCCAGACCGTCTTGAATGCTCAAGCGTCTTTAGGAGCATATCTGGGACATCTTGGCAAGGCAAAAAGAATGAACATCTTAATAAATCTTGTATACATAAAAATTCTTTGTAGAGAGGAAAAAAAATTTTTCAACTGATTAAAAAATAATGAAGAGGAAAAAAATGAAAGGTAGTAAATACTAAATAGAATATCCAATTGTAGAGATATCAATTCTAAATTAATAGTTCATTGTTGAAAAGGCCATGGTTTTATCAAATCAGCAGCTGTGGAAGTTTTATTCGGACGTTCATGTATTCCGATTTTCTCTACCTCATAGCGCTCATTTGGCTTAACAGCTGTGACTTTGTAAGGTCCAACAAATCGGGGACGGAGTTTGATTCCAGTTCCAAATTGAGTACGTTGAAGTGCGACTTGATCACCAACTTTGTATAAGTTTGGCTGTTTGCGGCGTTTGTTATATTGACGTCTATTTTCTTCTTGAAGTCTGAGAATATTGTTTTTCGCTTCGTCGCGTAATCTTTCTTTTTCTTGTAAAGTGGATTGGAAGTGTTCCTCTTCAAGTATTTGCTTAATTTTGATATTGTCTTTGTTTTTCAAAAGTAATTCAAAAGGCGTGAACTTAGTGGCTTGAGATGTAGTGCTATTTATGATTCTCTGCACAGAAGGAACATGTTTAAACCACTTTTCGGGATCTTCTAAAGATAGCTTAGTTAAGACGGGAATTAAAATATCATGCATACGTTCAATCTGTCCATTTGCACGTGGAACGTCCGTAATTATTGTGCTGTGTTCAATATTCTTGTCAAGACAATAAGTTTGAAATTCAGTTGAAGTAAAAGCTGCAACCCTATCTGAGATAATGCGTCGGGGTTATCAAAAGTTGTTTGCTGTAATTTCAATTTGTCGACAGCAGCTTGAGTGGTTGTTGATTTAACAGGATAAAGCCAAAGAAACTTTGAGAATGCATCAAAAACTGTAAAAAGATATTTGTAATTCTTGTTTGTTGACGGCAGTGGTCCCAAAAAGTCTATATGATAAGTATCAAGTGGTGTATCGCCTTTTGGAATCGGATGAAGAAATCTTTCCGCTTTACCAGCCTTTCTGGAAGAAAGAATGCAGGGTACGCAGTTCAAAATGATTTTTTTTAACAATCGCAGATAAATTAGGGATGTAATATTCACGTTTAATAATGGATTCTGTTTTGAGAGCAGAAAAATGACCTTCAGAGTGAACATTTTGCACTATTTCGGTTTGCATTGCCTGAGGTACAACTAATAGTTCTTGGTCTTCAACTATTTTATACAGAACACCGTTCTTTAAGGAGTAGTCATCTAAAGGGGCTTTTTCTAAACTATGTTTGATTCCCGTAATGAAGTCATCACTTGATTGTGCGTCAATAATCTTTTGAGTGACACTGTCAATGGCAATGAACATGACAGGGAAACGACTTAGAGCATCTACATGTTTCATAAGCTGTCCAGAGCGGTGTTTTATTGTGTAATCAAAGTCTTCAAGGTAAAGAACCCATCAAGCAATTCTGGGTGTTATGTCTTTTTTAGACATAGTTTTTTTTCAAAAGCAGCGCAATCTGTAACAATATCAAATTTTGTTCCGGCTAAATAATGTCTAAATTTTTTAAGGGCTTCAATGATGGCTAGGATTTCTAGTTCATAAGCTGGAGTATTTCTCTTCTTGGGGGGGGGGTAGTTTTCTTGCTCATATAGTAAATTGGGTGGAAGGAGCCATCAGTGCTTTGTTGCAAGAGAACAGATCCGTAACCGTATCTACTTGCGTCACAATGAAGTTGAAGCGGTAAACCTTGTTGGTAAAGGTGCAGAACAGGATCACTGGAAAGTGCTTCTTTCAGTTTTAAGAAAGCGTGCTGTTGTGCAGGACCAAACTCAAAAGGAGTGGACTCACGTAGTAAGTCACTGAGGGGTTTTGCAATTTTAGCATAATGTTGAATGAATTTTCGAAAGTAACTAGTTAGGCCAAGAAAACTTTGAACCTGTTTAGCTGTTTTGGGTTCAGGAAATGACTGTACAGCGCGTGTTTTGGATGGTGACGGTCGAATGGTGCTATCTTGAATAACATAACCTAGGAATTCAATTTTTTTCTTTAGAAAGTTGCATTTCTGAAAGTTTATTTCTAGACCATAGTCTGAGGCAAGTTGAAGGACTCGTCGTAATTTTTTAATTCCGTCGTCTTCGTCCTTAGATGGAATAATTATATCATCCATATAAATTATAACAGTCTGATCACTAATGAGAGGTCTGAATATGGTATTGATAAATCTTTGAAAAACGCTAGGAGAGTTGCACAGTCCAAAGGGAACTTTAAGGAATTCATACTGGCCTTCATGAGTAACAAATGCAGTATATTTGCTGCTTTGGGGATTCATGGGAACATGAAAAAAGCCGTTTTTCAAGTCAAGAGATGTAAAGACCTTAGAATTCTGTAAATTATCAAGAATTTGCTCTATAAGGGGTAGAGGAAATTTGTCTTTCACTATTTTCTTGTTAAGACGTCTGTAATCTATACATAGTCGGTAAGATCCATTTCGCTTTTTGCAGAGGACAATAGGGGCAGCAAAATCGGAGCAACTAGGTTTTATAATTCCTTCGTTCAGCCACTGCTGGATTTGAGCTTCTACAATACGTTGTTCGGCTATAGATAAGCGGCGAGGACGTTGACTAACAGGGATTTCATCCGTTAAAATTAAAGACATTTGCAAATCAGTTGTTTTGGTTTTATTAGGTTTGTAAGCCGAAACTAGGTGTTTGATTTCTGTGCGATGATCTGGATTGGTAAGATGCGTTAAATCAGGAGAATCAGGTTCATCGAAAATATTTACAATATTAATTAGAAAATTATGGTCAGGAGTTTCTGCTTCTATTAGTTTAATACCATGCTTTCCAATAGAAAATTCAGCTTGCTGGATACAATCACTTCCAATAATTGCGTCAACAGATAGGAGATTATCTTCAATAACATGAATGTCAATTTTAAAACTTGTATTCTGAATTTTGAAACAACCTGTGAAATATCCTACTGGATGTACAATGCGATCACCAAGTCCTGATAATGTTATAGAAGATTTTTGAAGCACTGGAGAACCTAATTTTTTGATATGTTGATGTGTTAATTATAGTAGCTTGACTGCCAGTGTCAATCAATGCTGGAATGATAACGTCAGAAATATTGATGTGAATCATCATAGAATGTAGAGGGTGTGATTGTACGACAACTTGATTGGGAATTGTCTCTGATTTTTGTGACGATGGAGGTGATGCACGACTTGGTTTCTGAGTACAAGTAGACAATTTATGGCCAAATAAATCGTATGAAAAACATTTAGGTTGTTTATGAGAACAATTAGAACTTTTATGGCCTTTAGACCCACAATTATAGCAAACTATAGGTTGGGTAGGCTGCTGTGAGATTTTGCTCTCTAATTGATGAGAATTATTTTGTTTAAATTTCAGATCACTAGAAAATTTAGCATGTTTGGAAGCAGACACAAGCTTCTCATAAATTTTTAACTTATCTTTGAATTCACGTTGCAACCATGTAATAAAATTTTGTCAGGGTTTTCTGGAATACCATTTGTCACATAATCAAAAATAGAAGACATATCAATTTGACCTCTAGAACCAATTTCTCGCATAGCCATAAAATAATCGAATAAGGATTTGTTTGGCTTTAAACGTCTTTTAAACATCAGTTTATGCAAATCTGCACTGTTAAGTTTAGAAGAAAATTCTTCTAACAAATATTCTTTTAACGTAGTAAAAGTTTTGACACCGTGTAAAGAATTTACAAAAGTTTTAGCAGAGCCTGATAAGCATTTTTTGGTGAATATAATCTTGTGAACATCATTTGTAATTCTATTCAGTTCAAATAATTCTTCTATGTCAGTTAAAAAAGATTCAATTAAATTATCAGAAGAACCATCAAAAGGTTTAATACATTCGTATAAATCACGAAACGTTATGCTGAATTGTTGTTCATTTACCAGCGATGACATGACAGGCGTATGATGTGTTCGATGTTTATGTAAACAAATACCGGAGCTGGAAGTCTGCGCGTTTTGGCTAGCTGCCAAGGTCGAACAAGTAATTGACTGCGTAGTGTTTGATTTTCGGCAATTAATTTCTGTTTTCTAATTCGAACTGTCAGAATCGGAAATAGGAAATAGCAGTTTCCTAATAGCAAATCGAAATTAGTTAAAGCATTCACAATTGTAGTATAACATTCATCAGCGGAAATGGCACATTCTAAATTTCAGAACATTAAGAATCGAAATTAGATCAGCCAGAGTGAAAATATTTAATAAACGTTCCTTAACTTCGGCAGTGTGAAAAGAGTTATCGAGTCCTGTGAATTCACGAAGTCGTTTGAGATTTGCTCGGTCGCCTTCTTGACCAAACACAAATTTAAATTTTATGTAGTAGCTTAATTGCTTTCGTGGAAGGTGATTTTAAGGATTTAGCGATATGTGGTATATCATTTAAAGCTGACATTGTCACAACTTAACTATTTCGGAGAACACAAGTGAGAAACAAGTTTATACAATAAAATGAATATTGAGTTTCGATTTCGAAAGCAAAAGTTCTGGTTTGAACACAATACGTTCTAACGGTAAAAATATAGTTTCAGTTCATCAAAATTGAATTCAAAGATTCTTTAATTTCACTTCATCAAAATTAAATTTACAATATGCTTTATTTGATTCTTAAAGATCAGCTTACCTTTACTGAAGAAGAACCGGTCGAAGCGCCCATGTAAACTCGGCGTCTAGGGGATTTCTACGCTGACGACACACATTTAGGTGACTAAGTATTTATTTAGTTATTGATGGAGATACAGTGATGAGTATTTACAAATGAAAGAAAGAGTTATAATTGAGAAGTTAACAGCTTCGCCATCTATTAATACGTCTTAGTCGAAAACATGACTGTTCTCTTTCGTTTCCCTCGTCCATCTCTCGTCTCACTGCAATGCCGTTCGTTGTGTTGAGTTGTTGCACTCCTGCTACTCACATATATATATTGTTTTATCTATTATTATTATTTACTTACTTCTGTTCCTTGATCCTTGCTGTCTACCACACTTCTAATTTTGTAGTTAAGACTGATATTTGATACTTTTTGCATAAATTTTTCTGGAAAAGAATTCTAAAATATGTATGAAAAAAGTGAATTTCTTCACAAATTTTAGAATTTCGTTGGTTAGCATATTTTTCTTAGCGAGAAATTTTAGAGCAGGGGTTCTCAATATTTTTTATTCCATGCACCCGTTTCAGCACTGCACCCCTTTCAGAAATTCATTTTCCCTTCCTTTCCTAAACATGAAAAATAGCGTATACATTTATTTAGATTTACATGGTTTTTAACAGGTTTTATTAATTAAACAACAAAAAGTACAGAAAATGCTGATAAATATCAAAACTTGAACAAAAATACTTTTTTTAGGTAACTAATGCAGAACTAAATGCAAAACTGTTAAATGAAAGGTTGACAGCATTTCCCCCTGATACTGAATTCTCTCCTGGTTAAGAACCTCTGTTTTAGAGAGAGAAGAAAAATAAAAATCAGAGCAAAAAGTGCATCTCCTGAAATTATTGAGTGGGTGTATTTATTCAATGCTGGTAAGTCTCTCCTCTGGTTTCCAAAGGATTGCTGCTCGCAGTCATTGCCACAGTTTGTTCAAGGACTTCATTCATTCACTATTCGAAATTCCATTTTGGTAAGGGCATTTGAAGGTGAAGCGGAAAATGAGGAGTGAGTACAAAGAGCATTCCTCTTAGCACCCGGCAACCGATGGCATGATGACTCTTTTCACAACGAGAATTAGGATGGAAAAAAGCGCAAATAGTTCGCAAGAATTCTGGAAAGAGTTTGTGGTGATAATTTCTTATTTGATTTTTAACAAAAGTAAGTCTAATAGGAAGAAATTAAAACGTGTCTCTTTTTGTTTGTAAATTGGAGTAGAAAGTTTCCAAAGAGAATTGGAAAAACTAAAAAATGAAAAATAACCTTCAAGTATGTGTTTCGAAATGACCAATAGATTAAATGTTACTCAGTGGAAACATACTTAAATTCACGTTTCATAAACTTCTTTTCAATGACGAGCAACTACAATAAACAAGATTTTAATGCTACTTTTTATACAAATTTGCTTTTGTGCAATGATATACGTCCTTTTGCAAGAAAATGAATTTTAACGCAATTACACATATATTGATTTACATTTTTTTCATAGGAAAAACTAGTTCTCATGTTTTCCTTCTTCAGTGTCTCAATTAATAAATGTAACAGCAATGTTTTCTGGTTATAGTTATACCAAAAAAGAACGTTAACGTTTTATAGTTAATTAAACGATAATTGCACTATCAGAGAGAGATATTACAATTAAATTTCTAAGTGCATATAAATAGCAATAGTCTATTAATTACACGTTTGCGCACAATTACTGAATGTTTTAACAAAAATGGCTGGCTGAAATACGCAGGTTGATTTATAAAATATAATGCAGTTTTTTCGATTGGGCTGGCCTGCCACTGACTCCATGTTTGCCATCCTCTAGTAGTGCCATCTCTTAGAAAAAGTGGTAATTGCGCCACTGCGGCCTCGGTGCTCTTGAAGTTGGTATGTGACTTTAGGGATCAAATGAATTTCTCAAATATTGCAAAGTAAAAGCTGATTCTCATCTCAGAATCCAACATGTGAACCCGCTTTATAAATCCACTCTCTGGTTGGTCGCCGGATTTCCACATGCTAATACTCCTATGCAGTTAGGTTGTAGTCTGCAACAAGAACAAATAGAAATAGATCTATTTTTGCTCATTAAATATTTGCCATAAACTTTTTCTCCTGCTGAGCAGTTAATCTACGAGCAAATCGGAGTTCAGAATATCTTCAAGTTTTTAAGTAAAACGTTGCACTTAGGAACGAATTCTTTGAATGGATTCGCAAAAATAAGTTTAGGTTGAGTAGAGTTAAGGATGCCCCTTGGATTATCGCTAAGTTGTTTCATTTAAGGTAACCTGAGTAGTTGAATGTTATGGAAACTTTATTATGACGTAATTAGTTGCGTGATTGCGTCAATTTTAATGATGGGAAAAGATCTGGAACGTGTGTGTGTCGGATTTTGGATAAGAAGTACGTTGTTATTTTGTGGTTTTACACGGTAAAATGGCTGAAAGATTAATCTGAAGTGTCTGTACGATTTGGAATAAAAGGAAAAAAGCATTCCCCTTCTCGCCGATTGTCACGTCTACGTGCCAGCAACGAACACACTCACTTCCCGGCCGACACGCAGGCGTGCCAGAGCATTTTCCCGTTCAGCCCCGACTGTCATGTATTTGTGCCAGTGTCCTGGAACGTTTTAAAAACTATAATTTCTGCCACAAGATGGCACTGTATGTCCATATGGTTTCCGATACATGTACATTAAACCTTCTACTCGAAATGAGAGAAGCATGACTCACATACACGTGTTTTTGATTATATAAACAAAAGGGGAAATAAATGTTTCCGAATGGCGTGATTTATGACGTCTCTTTAAATTCGCACGTGGTAGTTGTTTATTGTAAGTAGAGAAGTTTTATTTTCGCTAAAGCGTTGGGTATTTCGGTTTGCAGTCCAGTTTTTAGAAAATAATTAGATCTTGTTAGACGTGAATTCTTTCTGTTGTTACCGTTGCAATGTCGAAGCGTCGAAATGTTTTAACAGAGCATGAAATAGCAGAAATGGTGCAAAATATTCAGATAGATATTGATTCTGAAACAGATTCTGATAGTAGTTATAGTGATACTATGATATATTCTGATCATAAAGAATCTGGCGAATCTAATGATGACGAGGACATTTCGGACATCTGTATGCCGAGTACGTCGGCATGTCGGCATACAGATGTCCGAAATGTCCTCATCATCATTAATCCTTAATTAATTAATGTCCTCATCATCAATGTCGTTATTACGAGTGCAAGGAATGTAACGTAGGACTGTGTGTAGATCCCTGTTTTCAAATTTTTTCATACGAAAAGAAAATTTTAAATATATTTTGTTTTCAGATGTATAATGTTAAAAGTCATAAAATGGTGAGTAATGAAAATAAAATGTGTAAAATATGCATTTAAACAAGAACTAAGGTAATTAAAGTATATATAAAAATATCTATAAAGCATAAGCGGTTTAAATACTCTATAGAGAATTATTAAACAATAAATCGGAAATTTCATGGATTTAGGCTTAATAGCAAAAAAGCCCCCGGCCCTGGACAGACGTTCGCGTAAGACACTGCGGGGCTCCGCGATAAGCGTGCGTTTGCCCTACCCTGCGCGAAGGAGTTACTGGTGTGTAAATGAAGGTTTACTTAGTAGCCATTATTAAGTGTCCTGTTTGTAGGAAGAAAATGCGTATGGTCGAACGTCGGACGATACCGGCACTAAGAAGGATATTTTTTTGAATTTATGTGGCAACGCCAGTATATAGATTACAGTTCAGATAATTTTAGGAAATTTTTAGATGCTGTTAAGGAATTTTGGTTGACTGAAGACACGTAAATTCGTAAATAAGGTAAGTGAATATAACCTTTGTGTAGTGCTAAGATGAATTTCCTTTTTTATGTTATTTCATTGTTTGATTTTAAATATAGTTTATTGAGATTATATATTTTGTTGGACTTTTTATTATATATTTTTGTTATACCTTTGGCTTTTTAAGTGAATATAGATCGATGTGTACATGGTTACACAAAGCCAAAATAACAAGTCAAAGAATTGCACAAACTTGGTGTCCATGTACCGCCAATTATCACCAAGGGGTGCCCGTAAATATAATTTTACCTAAGTTTATTATGATACATTGTGGCTTATGTAATGTTACACAGCATCCAGTCATATTGTGGCTTATGTAATGTTACCCAGTCTCCAGTCATAACGTTCTAGTTAATGTGCAATAAGTAGTTGTGATAGTAGTATGCGATTGGCATGTAAAGTTCTGAATTGCATTTGCAAAGGCACGTTGACTGAGTAAGGCAAGTAATACTGTGATCTAAATTTATCAGGAAGTATGGCATTGCTCCTTTTATGTTCTCCTGCTGCAGGTGGCCAATACATCTAGCTGGCAAGAGAAAGACTTGTAATTTGAATCCCGGCAAGAGTACCGTTTACTTTTCTTGCTCTGGAAGTTAATGATCTGTACAAATTTCCCGATGTGTTCTATCACCTACCAGCTAAGCATTCTGACAGTATTTAACATTCGAATTTTTTTCTTTAAGAAGAAACCCTTTACTTTACACCACTAAATACTATTTCGGAAATATTGGCGGGTAATAATTCACATATGTGAGATGCTTGTACCATTTATGCTGACCTGACCAATTTCCTCCGGTAACTAACTTTTTTTAACTTTTTTCTTAGCAGAATTCATTTCCATAGTTAGCACAATATAAGATTCAAAGAACTCAAATTTAATTTAGAAAAAGAAATACTGTTGTTAGAAATGCTTTGGAAAATTTAATTTTGGTTTTAAATTCTTCTATGAGAATCAATCAGGGCAGCGTTTCTCAAACTGTGGTGATCGAAGCCTGCCCTTGTGGTCGGGCTTGATTTGTAAAAATGTCTTGTTTGTAAATGAATTTAATAAAATTTTACGCCATCTTTTGTATGACCTTTTATAAGTACGTCGGCATACCTTGCAGATGTATTCTCGAAATGAAATGATCTAAATCTCTGCCCACAAGTTAATTCTTTGACTGCTCTCAATGACCATGAAAACCTTTTGAGAGGAAACTTGGTTTCTGGGCCCCTTGTGTAAAATAGAGAAACTTTACATCATTTTCAATTTTAGAATCTATTTTAGCAGAAAATAAGAGCGTTACTAGAAAACAATTATGCAATGACATACTTGTATGTTCGGTTATCGAAATTCTGAGGTCACACTTTGAAACTCCTTTTCTAAGTCGTAAATACAACAAATT